TGGAAGTGAAGATGTTAAAAAAAAAAAAAAAAAAAAAAACGTTTTGTAAGTTTATTACTGTTTGTAACTGTAACTTTGTATGTATAAGCGATTGTTGTATAGAAAGTTATACCGATTTCTTTAAATTGCTATATTATTTATATTAATTACTATATTATTAATATTACTATTTTTAAATTAACATGTTATTATTATTATTATTATTATTTATTATTATTATTATTATTATTTATAATAAATTATTATTATTTATTATTATTATTGTTATTATTATTATTATTATTATTATTTATCATTATTTTATTATAAATATTTTTATTATTATTTTTACTATAATTATTTTAATCATTGTTATTAGGTGTTTACTTAATATTAGTAGTTTATACTATGTGTAAGCAACCTTGTAATGTAATACCAAATATTTCAGAAAATATATTGATTGAATTGATTGATTGAATTAATGAAATTGCACTTTGATATATAAGGAAATAGTCATAACAGTAAAAACAAATTTTTATATGGAAAAAAGTTGAAGCAACGACCAGAAAAATATCATACATATAAAACATATTTATCTGAAGTTTAAAAAAAAATTATTGAAATCCTACAGTCAGATTTTTAGAAAATTGATTTCAAATAAATAAACAAATCTATGATTTACACTAAAAAGGTATTAAATAAAAATAAAGTTTAAGCGCGCAAAGATTTTTGTTACATCTATTTATTTAAAATTTTGTGATTTTTGTATTATTATATTGATTTACGCTTAAAATAAGCCTACATAATTGGCTTTTCAGAAATTAATTAACAAATAATCTGTTGCCATCTAAATTATTCTCTGTAGTTAAGAACCGTAGCCATTTTAAAAGTGGAAAAGTTTTTCGCATTTTCTTACGCATGCGTACCTAAACATAGCGCTTTTTACTTATATCTGAACGACCGTGTGAAAAGTAAAAATGTACAAATTTCTTTATATTTTGACCGTGGTGAAGTCATGGTCATTTGCACCACTGCGGCACAGTCACTGGCGCAGTGGTTACAGCGCATATTTATATGCAGGAGATCCAGGTTCGAAACGAGCTCTGGACATATTTTTGCGTCACGGTAAGAATAGAGGCGTGAACTTCCTGGTTAAATGCACTTCCGCGGTGCTCTATGACAAGACCATTAGGTCTTCTTGGGGCAGCTAAATAATGAAAAACAAAAAAAAAATTTAGTGATTATTATGGCAACATCATAGATTTAAAAAAAAAAGTTTAATGCATTTTTAATTTACCCATAATCAGATTTTTTAAAAGTATTAAGATTTAAAATAAAAAGTCTTTAGTGCCGTCAGTAACACGTGTGCTTATACTCAATTTTGCAGATCGATTCTCACACACTAGCGGATGATAAGTAATTATCCGGAATGAGTTTAAAATATCTTGTACGGCTCATTAAAAAGTAATAACGATAACATTTTTAAACAGTTCTAAAGCATGTTTAAGGCTTATTTCATTTTCAATTTCATTTTCTTACAAAATCGTCTTCTATAGTTCCTTTTCGACGTGCACCATCTAATCGAGGCTTCACTTCTCTAACAAGCTCTTATACGCGTGTTCCATATTAAATTCAGTTAAACATTTTTTTAAGAAATTTGCAGGGTTTTTTTGGATAGCACTTGAACATTGTTTTCAACTAAATAAGCTATTATAGTTTTTGCATAATGTGAACTAGCTAAACCTGCCCAAATATTTTTTGATCAGAATGGTACTGTTACGAAAAATGATATCAATCTACTTCTAAACAGTCTTTCTTATATACATACTGGTTAATAGCAAAGCCACTTCTTATTTTCAATGATTCAGCAAACCTTTAAAATTTTTTTGTTTATGTTTAAAGTTTTTGCTTATTTTATTGATGGAGGAGGTTTTATCATCAGTATGATAGAATCTATTTCCATTGCAACTTTTTTTTTTTAATTTTATTTCAAGGTGCTCCAAGAAGTTCTTACGGTCTTAACACAGAGCATTTGAAAATAGTTTACGCCTCCTTCCTTACCAATGTAATAAAAGTTACTAAGAGATTTGAACCGCGGATTTATAGCTTTTGAGGCAAGCACGCTAACCACTGCGCTACGACAGCTCGATTTAAATGTGAAAGTGTGGAATAAGATTCATCATCCAAACCTCAATCAAAGCTCTTGTAATTCATGTAAATGACATTCAAGTAAACGACATTTGCTTCTCGTTTCAACCATCTGAATAAAACTTCTATCTGATATTTTAGTTTTTTTGACATAATTAATCCCTAGTTTATGATTTAGAACCGTTAAAACATACGGTTGACTATAATTAAAATTTTCAGCTAACTTTATTTGTGATAAACAACCTTTATTGTTTATTGATTGTCTCAATCGATTTCAACCGCATTTATTAAAAACAACAGCCAGTTGTTTGCTACTGATTTTTGATTTTCATCAATTCCATCTTCATAACGCTTGATTATATCATAAATTGTTGATTTGTTTGCTCCTTCAGCTACAAAATGATTAAATATGTACTTTTTTCCTTCATTTATATTTTTTTCATAAAACTTGTACACATGTTTTCGGAAAAGCTCTTTTTCAGGCAGTTTATTATTAGAAAGATAAATATGGTTTTTGCAGTGCTTTATGAATAACCGAAACCGAGATTCTTTTATGCGCAAAAAGTAAACTGAAGCGTATAAAATTGCGTTAATAGTATTCAAAAAAAACCAATTAGCGTTTTAAAATAAAAGATGTTAATACAGCTTTGTTTTCACCCATTTTTAAGTTTTATTGTTGATTTGTTGTATGAAAAGCCATCTTGCCTCATTTGCCATCTTGCCCCGTTTTTCCCTAATAACAACATATAAAAATTAAGAAAAAAATATCCGAAGAAGCATTTAATGACCTAGATTTAATTTAAATCGATAGATTTTAAATTTAATCTAATAGTTTTTTAACGTTCAAAATCTATGGAATGCAGTTTTAAAATTAAAGTTATTAAAGTTTCAAAAAACTTGAAGGATATAAATACATTTTTAGGATAAAGCTATTGATATAAAACAAACATAAGTTTCTTTTTTTACAGCATTTTACAATATCAATATTATTATATATCAAATAGCCAAATGAGTTCATATTTGAAGTAAGGTCTTCTGATATTATCAGAAAACTAGTTTTACCAGAAAAGCCAAAAAATTAACAAAAGTATTATGACATTAAAATAAAAATTTACAAAAAATAGTTACTTATTAATACATCGATTTTAATGTACACAATCTTAAGGATTATTTTGTGAAGCATTTCTATGTTTTTGAATGTTATTTTTATTTCATGAGAAAATAATTTTTTTTTAGATTAAGTTCTTCATTCTTATCAATAAAAAAAGATTATCTTTGTTGGTACTTTTAGTTTATTTTTTGTTTTTGTTCTTTGATAAGTTAAATATTTATGAAAGGAATCGAGTCACTATTTTAATTTCTCTTACGAAACCTCTCGCAGATGCGTTGCAACCATTTTCCTCATTACAATTTTACAATCGTATATCTAAAGATCATCTTGGTAAAAGATCTAAAGATCATCTTGGTAAAAGATCTAAAGATCATCTTGGTAAAAGATCTAAAGATCATCTTGGTAAAAGATCTAAAGATCATAAAAAAAAAAAAGGCAATTGTGAAGTGTAGCAAGATACAAAAATGTTTATAAAAATTTCTGGTTTTATTTGTAAAGGGATATTGCAAACAAATTCCAAAACAATACTCCACTGTCACACCTGTGCTTATAATATGGAGTGTTGTATTCTACAACATGGATGTGCTTCTAAAACCTGTTAATGAATGAGTTGGTAAAATCTTGTGGCTCTCGAACACATCTACTCCATTAAATATAAGCAGACAAAATTTCTTTTAAAAGACCTTTAATTACTTGGCAGTTCAAAGAAAAATATCCTTTTCTGTTTTGATACAATTCTGCATCTCTTAATAGTTTTAAAACGTTTTTCAACAAATTTATATGTTGTACACAATTTTTTTATATTTTATACAAAAATTTTTCATATTTTGTACACGATTTTAAAATTAAATCTTAAAAAGTAGTAGTAGTAGCATTAAAATGGTGCAACAGGTTTCCCTGTATAACGGGTCAATTCCAACAAGCAAAATTTTTCGAAATATTTGTATGGGTGTGGAAGATTTTATAAGTGAAACCAATAAAATATTAAACTGATTCGGACTCGATGCATAGTAAAAAGTGTAAATTTTACGGAGTTTATGGCATTAATTAAATAAAAACCAAACATCAGTTTAAGAATTTTTTAATTAATAATCAACATATCATTTGCTTGGGATAATTGGTTTTGTTAACATTTCTGTGATTTCTGTGATTTTCTATTCTGATCTTTACAAAAATAAAGTTCTGTCTTTTTTTGAAATCATTTATTAGCTTAGAAACTTCGATTACAGACTTGTTTGGAAGATATGTAAGTGACAAAACGTTCATCAGATCAACAGATAAAAACTAATATTTTTTTTAATTCGCCAGTTATTTTTTAAGAAAACAAAGTTCAAGTTAAATTTTAAAAAAGTTTAAAGCTGCAATTACATTTAGGGTGACTTTAATACTATTAAACTGAATGTCAATTTTAATCTTTTTATACCAAAAGTTTTCATTTTTTGTATTTTCATGTAGCATAATGTTTAAGAATAATTCGGATTGTTTGCAAAAGGTTGTTGGCACATACATTTTGACATTATTTGTATACTAATGAGCAAAATTGGTGATGAGCAAAAATGATTGGCTAGTAAATATTATAAGTTAGTGATTCATGTATGGTGGGATTGAAATAAACGTCAAGGGATTGTGACCAAAATAGTTATTGTTCGGAATTTTTATTAGAAATTAGCCCTGGTTCTTTTGAGATCTAGGTTGATATAGTTTTGAAAAAAACTTTGTTTACTTAGATACGTGACCCAGCGTGTAATCAAGAGTTAAACAATTCAAAAAACAATTATAATTACAATCAACATTACAATTAGTATTACAAAATTCAATGTTCTTCCGATGTTGAACATTGGCTTGAACATTAACGCAAACAACATTAATAATAATTTACTCGGTTTATGATGCCAATCTTCCGTCCTATAAAAAGACAATAAATCAACAAAACATTTTTCCTGGGTTACCTGTTTGTTATCTGGGTTATCAAATGTTTAAAAAAATTATTAAAAGTTTACGAGAAATTATATCTAAAATATAAATCATCTGCGAATGAGAAAATATACATAAAAATACAAAAAATCTTTTTTGGAAAAGTTTGAAGAAACTTTTTTTAAATATTACTGCTTTAATCTTCCTAATTAAGCAAAAAATTGTAATTGCACCTAAACATAAAAAATTGTTAACATAAAATTTTATAATCGTAAAAAATTGTAGCATAAATAAAAACATATTTATAGATTGATTTGAACGAATAAAATATATTCTTTTTAAAGTTTTAAAATCATCAATTGATAAAAGAGTTTTTTCTAATCAATTGAATATTACTAAAGTTATTTCGCTATTCAAAGATGGTGACAAAACTAACATTAGTAATTACCGCCCTATCTCTGTCTTATCTATATTTTCAAAAATACGTGAAAGAATCGTGTAAAATAGAATACAACAATCAGTTTGGCTTTTTTAAAAAAAAAAAACTTAACCGAGCTTGCTATGGGGGTGGGGGGTGGAAAGAGGGTCAAAAATGATCAAAAATTGCGTGACGTTATTTATGGACAACCCCCAAATGTTTTCAAAGTTATTTATAACAAAAGGTTGCAGCCAATATTAGTTCTTAGATACTTAATTGAGTTTAAAGTATTGATTTTTTAGCCACTTAATCTAATATTTAAGTTTTTATTGATTTTTGGTTTATAGGATTTGAATATGACCAGTTCAGTTTTGTTACAGTTGAGAGAAAGCTTATTTGAGCAAAGCCACTAAACTAGAATGGCCAGATCATGGTTAAAACGTTTGTTATTTTTTTTAAAGATTTGTTGATAATAAGCAAGTTAGTATCATCAGCGAAGTTGTAAACGGTTGCAAACTTATTGGAGTTATTAAGATAATTAAGATAGAATAAAGTCTATTATACATAATTCGTTCTAGAATTTTTAAAAAAATATGTAAGAACAGAAATGGGCCTTTAATTAGTAACGTCACAAGGATCAACGTCACAATGATCACGTGATTTGAAAATTGAAACTAGTTTTGCTATTTTCAATTTTAATTAATTCATCTTGACAAAGTAATGTTTTATAATTTTATGTATGTTCAATTTTTATTTCTACATGAGTTCTATTTTTATTTATATAATTAAGTACAATTTATTGTTTTTATGTAGCTTTTACGCAATCTCATGTCAGGTGTCTCAAACTGTCTTTTTGCGTTGAATAACGAAACTTCGGTTACATTTCATTGCATTTTCCTTGCCATACTTCTTGAAAATGGTATGGAAAATGCTGCACATCTGGAAGATGAACATTTGATTAACATTTCAATTAGATTTTTATATGAAATATGAGTGGTAATAGGAGGTTCATTTAGTTCACATTTTTCCTACCAATTAGGTCTATATAGTCTTTTGCTTCAAAATTGATTTCTGGTATAGAGAATCTCTATTCCAGAAATCAATTTATTTAACTTCAGTTCAAGTTTGTGGATTGGCTAGTAGAGACGGCTTCATTCGTGCAAGACTTGCATCGCGAAAAATAATGCCTTTATTCAATACAAAAAGACAGTTTAAGACAGATCCAAATGAATCAGATAGTTGAACTTTATTACTGCTAAACTTCAAACATTTTTCAAAAACATTTTCCGTTCATTTAAAACTTTAACTGTACATTATGGGCTGCAGAGCTTGTTTGCCAGAAACTCATGAAACAGTGTTTTTTCGTAAAAATTCAGCCCTCCAGCGGCAACTGAAGACGTTAAAGTATTTTCATAAAAATTGTAACCAGTTTTAACTTAGTCATTGTGTAATGTTTAAACTCTATTACAACTCTAGTATATGCATAGAATTTGTTATTTTTAATTTGTAAAAAAGGTCAGAAATTGTGTTTTTGTAAGAAAAATAAAACCCAAGAGCGAACTGAAGACATAAAAAAAATATAAAAAAATTTGGCACAATTACTTTTTATAACATTATTCAACTTTTCCGCTCTATTACAATTTTAAATTCAAAAAAAGTTGTTTTGATACACCCAAGTAAATAATTTCAAATACTTGTACTTCAATAAAAAAAAAATTTAATTTAATATCAAAAAGATCAAAATTTTCAGTTCTAAAAACGATAACAAAAAATAAATAAATATATAATACATTTTAAAAAGTTTTGCACACATTGCATACAAAATTAATCTGCATCAAAGTTTTTTTTATGCAGACAAAAATTACTTGCCACATCGATTTATACAAGTAAGGGAAATAAAATAAGATTTGTAAAAGGGGTTAAACACAAGAGTAAATAGTTTAAAAAAAAGCCAAGCAAAAAACTTTTAAAAAAAATTAGGTGCCAACTCAAAAATTTCCTTAAATAGCCTTTTTGATTTGAAGCAGAATTTTTTTTTTTATAAGGAATCTTAAATTTATATTCACTAAAACCTTTCTTACCTTTAAATTTATATCTGTTAAAACCTTTCTTATCTTATCTAACTTTTCTTACCTTTAAATTTTTTCATAAGTTTTTCATAAGTTTTTCCCCACTCCGTTGTTTTCAACGCTCATTAATATTTCTAACTCTTTGATCAAGCGTTTGCCTTCCTCGATTTGCTTATCAACTATAAAAGAATTTTAAAAATGGTGTTATGTATTGAATGTCTACATTTTTTGAATTAAAGCTGTTATGATTACCTGATGAGGTGTATTCTTTTATATTATCATTTTTAAATTTATCGTTGTTTTTTTCGCTTTGTATAATTTTTCTTTCATTTGGCTGGAGATTAATTTTAGTAAAAGTATATACATTTTCTTCCGAATCTTCGGAATCTTCAAAATTTTTTTTGACAGTTTGATGTTTAGCGGCTTCGTTATAAACTGGTTTAGTTGGAAAATTTTCATCCTCGTCACTGTCGTTTGTTTTATCGTTGGAACTTTTTGTTTTTTCATCAGTATCTTCTGTTTCTTCAGCTATGTCTTTTTTTTCTTCATTGATATTTTCTGTTTCTTTATTGGTATCTTTTGTTTCTTTATTGGTATCTTTTGTTTCTTCATTGGTATTTTCTTTTTCTTCATTGGTATCTTCTGTTTCTTCATCAGTATCTTCTGTTTCTTCAGCTATGTCTTTGTTTTCTTCATTGGTATCTTCTGTTTCTTCATTGGTATCTTTTGTTTCTTTATTGGTATCTTTTGTTTCTTCATTGGTATTTTCTTTTTCTTCATTGGTATCTTTTGTTTCTTCATCAGTATCTTCTGTTTCTTCAATATAGTTTTTCATTACTTCATTAGATCTTTTTTTTTCTTTATCAGTTTCTTTTTTTAAATTAGTAAAGCTTTTTGCTTCTTCATAAATGTCTGTTGTTTCTTGGTCATATTCCGTTGTTTCTTTATCTGAATCTGTTAATTCTTTGATTGAATTTTTTTTTTCTTTAACAGAATCTGTTGCTTTTTCATCTGCATCTTTTGTTTCTTCTTTCCATGTTTCTGCAATTAGAAACTCTAAATCTTCGTTAGCATCTTTAGCTTCTTCGTCCTCATCTTTTGTTTGTTCAGTAATACCTCTTACTTCTTTAACTAGATTTTCAGAATCTTTTATTTCTTTAAATATATCTTTTATTTCCTCGTCTTCGTCTTTTTCATCGTCTCTTGTTTCCTTAATAAGATTTTTCGTTTCTTCGTATGCATTTTGAGTTTCCTTGTTTGCATCATTTATTTCTTTATCATCTTTAACTAAGTTTTTTATTTCTTCATCTTTTGCTTCTTCTTTACTTTCATATTCATCTTTTGTTTCTTCTTTACCTTCATATTCATCTTTTGTTTCTTCTTCACCTTCATATTCATCTTTTGTTTCTTCTTTACCTTCATCTTTTGCTTCTTCTTCTTTTTTTTCATATGTTTCTTCAACTAAGTCTTCTATTTCTTCATTAAAAACTTTGGTTTTTTTATCAGCACCTTTGGTTTTTTTACTTTTTTCATTTAAATTAGATATATAACTACCTTCTTCATTAACGTTTCTTACGCTTTTATGTATAAGTTCTTTGTCATTATTTCCATTTAGTCCTAAATAACATAAAATTATAATTCATTAAAAATTAGTTTACAAATTTTAAGGTCATTTTAATTCCATTTAATCTGATTTATACTAATATAACAATAATCATAATAGATTAACTAAACTTAAAATTAACTAGACTTAAGATTAATTAAAGACACACGATACACAATATGTATTCATCCAAATATACTAAAAGTTATGTATTAACTCAAACATATTGCACGCTTTAACGTGATATTTATTATTTAAGACTTTTATGTTTCGAATCATGGGGAGTATCAATAACTACAACCAGGGCCGCCGAGAGTCGTCACGCCGCCGGGAATAGTAACCTTGATTGGCGCCCTTATTTAATAAAATTTCCCTATATTATAAATAAAGGACCTTTTTTTTTAGGTACCTTATTTTCATTTTGCGCCCCTTAGATACCTGCCGCCCGGGATAAACTATTTCTTTTGCCCCCTCTCTCTCAGTGGCCCTGTCAACATCACATTGAGAATTTTTTTTTAACTCGTGTACCTCAAATTATTATTTTCATAGAATAAGTATTTTAAACCTTTATGTAAGTGATTTAAACTATTATGAATGTATTATACTATAATACAGTTGATATGATATAATGATGTGATATAATTGTATGATATAATTATGTATGATGCTAATTTGATTATATAAAATAATATGCAATGTTTAATATTAAAGGTTTTACATGTTTAATATTAAAGGTTTAAAATAATTTTATTTGAGTGATTTTATAATTATTTTAAAATAATTTTATTGCTAAATGGAAAAAGTTAGCTTAATTAGTAGGAGTCTCCAACCTCCTTCACCACCTCCTTACCTCACCCCCATCACCACCACCACCATTAAAAAATAATAATAAATGGTAAAAGCAAAATGTTTTTACTAAAAGGAGTCAGAAACAAATTTCACTATTTTACTAATTATGTTTAGCATTTAATTAGTTAAATACAGCACATAAATTTCTATATTTTTCAAGCCTAGATATAAACTTTATATATCTTTGATATACGTTGTTACCTTGATATAGATCTGCTGGTTGTTTATTGCTAATGCTTCTACCAGAAAGACTAACTATTAAATTGAATGCGAATATTATCTCGGTTATTGTTTTCATATTGTGAGTGTTGTTTTCTAAACATATTTTCAGAAAATATTTTAAACTGCTTTTTCATTTT